ATCTTATTTGGCTTTATTTGTGATTCTAGAAACAGGCAAGTCTGGACCAAAAATGGTTCAGAACTCTCCGTCCCACCACGTGGGCAGGTTCTATTCATTGCCACAGAAAAGGCAGTGATGTACAGACAGCAGGAACTGAAATACAGAGACAAGCCAACTGGTTACAACTCCAGTGTGCCATATTTAAACATGGTCTGACTGTTCAGTCACTTGTGATTGGATGAGACTCAGCTACTTATTCCAAACTACGTACAAAGAAGCCTTCAGGCCAAATTTAAAACATGTACAGTTAGCTGTGGGTCAGTAATTCAATATAGCTGAAATCATACATAATTACCAAAACTGAGTCTATGAATTCGGTAATGTTCTCAAGGGAATGCCTTTATCACTCCAGATACACTTGGAAAGCAGTAGTTCAATTCCAAAGACCTCTATTTAGTCTATGGACAACGCAGATAAACACTGAGGACTTGTGTACCCTCAGCAAACTCTCAGACCAGACCACAGGCTAGTAACCACAGTAGAAAGGATGTGGTGTAGGGAGAAAGAGAGAAACCATTCAGAAGGATTTTGCTAATATCAGTGGGGTACCCACAGAGCCTAATTCTCTAAAACCAACAGATGCTTTAAATTCCTCAAATTCTTTAGCAGCCAAGGTAAACAGAGGAAGTCAGAAGGTGTTGAACCAGCACATCTTTGAAAGATACAAACTGGGCAAATGAAGAAACAGACCAATTCAAAGTCAATCATGAAGGACTCATATTCTTGTGCCAGACTTGGCAGTGAACTCTCAAGTTCGCATCCCCTGGTCCTTTTACAAGATGACAGTGATACTAGAAGTAAACTCAGAGATAACAGGAAGGACAGGTGAGCAAGAAGGTAGTGAATTAAGCTAGCCCATTCTGGGGCCGGCACTGTGGCACAGTAGGTTAATCCTCCACCTGCAGCACCGGCATCCCATATGGGCACTGGTTCTAGTTCCGGCTGCTCTTCTTCTGATCCAGCTCTCTGCTGTGGACTCAGAAAGCAGCCAAAGATGGACCAAGCACAAGGGTCCCTGTATCCTCATGGGAGACCTAGAAGAAGCAGCTCCTGATCAGCTCAGCTCCGACCATTGCAGCCATTTGGGGAGTGAACCAGCAGATGGAAGGCCTCTCTCTCTGTCTGTCCCTCTCACTGTCTGTACCACTTAAATAAATAAATAAAGTCAGTTGAAAAGAAAAGAAAAAGCCTATTCTGCTCCAGTCATATAAATTACTATTGTGAAACCTCAACATAGAAAGCAACATCAACTCAAGACTGGAAACTGGTGAGTAACCAATGCAGAGTGACACATCCGGTTTTTAATCACACTGGTATTTGTTTACTACAGGCTTTTCAATGTCGAGAGACAGAGGCAACCATTAGGTATAGAAAATTGAAAGGTGCTGCACAAGAGGACTCAAATTAGAGAGTCCAGGCTGTATTTTCCAACACTTTGTCACCCACCCTCGCCATGACCTTGGTACAATCAAGTTTCCCCTCTGCCTTTGCCTTCAAACCATTATACTGCTTGGCTTTAAAACCAATGTTTAATCATAAACTAGCCCTGCTACCCTGTTAATATTCCAAACAGCATTTCCAACCAGATAAAAATCCAGCATGATGATGCTGAGTTATCTTAAAGGGCAGCATTTCAACATGTGTTTTGATTGCAAAATGAGCCCTCAGGGTGTCATGCATATATATATATATATATATATATATATATATATTATACACACACACACATATATATATTTCTAAGTACAATTTGAAATTCATAAAAATAAGTCATAAAATAAGTGATAGAATAAAAAACTAGCCCTCACCTCACTCTCCCCTGACCCCCCAAAAAAGTGAATTCAAAAAACTTCTTTTTTTTTTTTTTTTTTTTTTTTTTTTTTTTTTTTGACAGGCAGAGTGGACAGTGAGAGAGAGAGACAGAGAGAGAAAGGTCTTCCTTTTGCCGTTGGTTCACCCTCCAATGGCCGCCGCTGCAGCCGGCGCACCGCGCTGATCCTGGCAGGAGCCAGGAGCCAGGTGCTTTTTCCTGGTCTCCCATGGGGTGCAGGGCCCAAGCACCTGGGCCATCCTCCACTGCACTCCCTGGCCATAGCAGAGAGCTGGCCTGGAAGAGGGGCAACCGGGACAGAATCCGGCGCCCCAACCGGGACTAGAACCCGGTGTGCCGGCGCCGCAAGGTGGAGGATTAGCCTATTGAGCCACGGCGCCGGCTCAAAAAACTTCTGATTCTGGGTATAATAACAACACATCATCTATTTAAAATCACAGACAGAAAATGAAAATCCCAAGGATACAACTGACATAGAGTCCAGGCATCATTCAAAATTTCACAAGGTCAGTGGAGTTCCTCGACCCTGAGATAGTCAAAGCTGAGGCTAAGAATAAAGGCAGCAGAGTATAAATTTAAGATAATGTACACTACTACACAAAAGACGTATGAGTATACATGCACTTACACACCCACAGGAAGGAGCCACTAATGCTTCATCACACCAGAAAAATGGGATAGGGCAAAGTGGAGCAAAAATATCAGCAAGCAGAATAAATATTCACATTATAATCTTCACTTTCCAAAATATAAAATACACTTTGGAATCAACATTCATCTTCAAATAGAGGGGTTCTTAAAATGAAGACATCGTGGCAATGAGAGAACCATTCATTCTGCTCCCTTTGGCAAGAATATTTTAAATATGCGCTGTAGTTGTAAAAGCAAAGCTAGCAAGAGAGATCTATGTGGACCCAAACTAGGGAAATGAAGTAAGCCTGCCCATGACCCCACCACTGTCACTTCAAATGGCCTGAGCATTCCAAAAGCATGTTCACTGACGATACAATGAGTGGCATAAGGGGAAAAAATCAATGTCACTAACTACATTAAAAGGATATGATACTATCTTTGGAAAGATTAGAGTTTCTGCTAATGAGGAGCCAAACCCTTTATTCAGTCATCTCATCACTGCTGACGGGGGCAGGTGTTTGGCACAGCAGTTACGCTGCTTAGGACACCCACATGCTATAGTGGAATGCCTGGGTTGGAGTCCTAGGTCCACTCGAGATTCTGGCTTCCTGCTAAAGCACACCCTAGGAGGCAGCAGATGATGGTTCCACGGGTGAGTCCCTGCAACCCAAGTGGGAGATCCAGATTGAGTTTTCAGCTCCTGGCTTTTGGCCTGGCCCAGCGCCAGTCGTTGGAGGTATCTGGGGAGTGAACCAGTAGACAGAAGATCTCCGATGTGTGTGTGTGGGGGGGGGTGTCTGCCTTTTAAAAATGATGGCTGATGAACACCTTTACAATAGAGAGGGATGGAGTGAGAAGACAGCACGGCAGCCTGCATTGTTTTTTAGCACAATATCCTTTATCACAATACACTTATCTCTATTCATTACACACAAACTTCTCACAAAACCCTACACAATTAGGAACAAGCTAGGACAAACAAGGAATCTTCAGTTTGCCAAAATCTGCACACTCAGAGAAAGAAGGGTGCGAAGTCATCCAGATTCACAGATTTCCTCGGGCAAACACAAAGCCTGCAGATACAAACTCCCCACAGGAGCCAGGCATCACCAAGAAATGCCCCATCCTTCTTCCTTGCCCCCTCCCTCCCTCCCCAACCCACCAACACAAAATGGTGAGTGTTTTCTAAAATTATGCAGAAGAAACCGGGCTGATGGAAAATTACAGTGGGAAGCCTGGACTTTTCAAAGTTTATAAATAAAGTTAAGTTATTTCTCTTAACTACATTGCTGGAATTTTTCCACTCTCATTGCAATTCGAAATACAGTGTTCACACTTCTCCCATTTAAACATGCCCCCCCTCCACACCTTCCTAAGTCACTTTCATATGACCTCAGGTCTCAGCCCAAAAAGACACCTAAAGCTAATTTTTCAGACCGCCCAACTTCCTACTGGTTAATACAATTCACATTTCGCATTCCTTTTATTTAGTGTCAGAAATGAAACATTCGAAGTTGGTTTCTTTATTTTTTCCACATGCAAACATGTCTTTCTTTCAAGAAAAAAAGTCACTTTAAAATACTGTTTGCTTTGGAATTCCGAATATGTTTTTTGTTCCTGTGAAAGAATCTTTAAACCTAATGCGAATGTTTAAGTGCACTGAACAAACCAGCACGTGGCATCAATAACTCCTAAATGACTGCAAAAGTGGAGCAGGCCACAGCTTTCTAACAAGCTTCTAAGACTTTTTTTTTTTTTTCTCCTTTACAAAAATCGTTTGAAAGGCTGGCTGTCCTGATGTTAACCTTCTACAGATAAAGGGCGCCCCAAGCCCGTGGAGACGCTGTCTGCATTTTAGGGGGGAGAGAAGGGAACCGAGGAGCCTCTGTGTGAGGCCCAGCTGGGTTAGGAACGACCTTCCCGTGAGGGACCCGCAGATACGCTGGTCTCCTCCACGCAGAAAGTGAAGAGGATGTTTCCCCGACGCCCACGTCCCGAGCTCCGAGGCTGCGGCAGAACCGGCAGCTTTGCAGGCGCGCCGCGAGGGTCCTCTCCACCTGCCCTCGCGTGCGCCCCACTCGCTGAACGCACGACCTGCTCAGGTGGGCGTCGGGCATCCCCACTCGTAGCCACCCCGGAGAAATGCACCCGGGGCAGATCAGCTCCGTGCCGCGGGCTCTCGGCAGGACACCACGCCCGGCGGGCCGGAGCCGACCTGGGGACCTCCTCCCTGGGCTGGTGGTCCTTACGGATGCAAGGTCCCAGAACGGGGCGGCGAGCGCTGAGGACGCCGACCCGACCGTCGGGGAACAGCAGCGCCCACACGAAGTTGGGCAGGAAGAGGCAGGAAAGCCAAACCGTGCCAAGTTCCCCAAACTGCACGGCACCGGCTGGGTCAACGGCGAAAGCTACAGCGCCCGGAGGAGGCCGGGGCAGCGGTCACCTCGCGACGGGCGTCCCGAGACCGCAGACTCGCGCAGTCAAAAGCACTCACCTCCACCCATCTCCGAGCCTCGGCGAACGCCACGGAGCAGTCGGCCTCCGCCTCCTCCACCCCTTCCATGACTGGAGCAAAAAAGGGAGAGAGAGAGAGAGACTGAGCGGGCACACTGGGGTCGGGGTCCGCACGCGTCTCGGCCCGGCGGGCTGCGAGGGCACGCGCGCTGCCGCCGTGCCGGCCTGCGCTCCGGGCGCGCTTTCCCTTTGTTGCGCACCGCGACTAAACTTTGCAAGCCTACAAGAACTTGGAGGCGTTGCAGTCTCCACAACTCCCGACGGGGCGCCGGGCGTGCGGGCGGCGACGGCAGGCAGCGCGCGGCACCAGCCCCGAGCGCGCTGTGGGCTTCGGACGTCGCCGCGTGGCCCCGCCCGGCCCCGCCTCCGCCCGCCGAGTCTCCGCTTCCGTCCGCCCCCAGAGCTGCTACCCCCGGGCTCCCGGAGCGGCAGGCTCTGCGGTCGCACCGTCTGGGCGGGGAGATGCCACCGCCCGCCCTGGGACCGCAGCCCCGCCCCAGGGGATGCACCCCCGCGCCCGCCTGGCCGCCTCTCTCTCCCGGGGCTCCTGGAAGGGGCGTTCTCTCGGCTCGCGGCCGCCGAGCGGGCCTGCAGTACCAGGAATAGCTGCGCACAATTGCACCTTTCGGGGCCAAGCAGCGTCCCCCACCCCGCGGGGGCGCGCGGCTTAGCCCATCGCCCTCACATGCGGCCGGACCGAGCCCACGGCCCCGCCTCCACGTGCGCCGCGTCCCCGCCCCCTGCGGCCGGTCCGGCCCACCTGGCGGCAGGTGAGAGTCGTGCTCTGGGCACCTGCGGCGGGTCTCGCCCAGCGGAGACCGGCCTAGCTGAGCCGCTCTTCCAGGTGAGTGTGGAAGAAGGGACCTGCCACGCAGCGTGGTACGAGCGAGCGAAGGGACTCTTGCGAGGCCCCCGCCTGCCGCCGGGCAGCCCAGTTCAGACCGTCTGACCGCCCTCGCACTGGAAGTCCAAAGCCTTTCCTGTTTGGGGCACACCCAGACGGGCAGCAGCGCGGTCCGTTATTTGATATCCGCAGTGGCCCCGGGTAGGTGCGCAAGGCCAGAGGCTTGGCTTACGGGAGACCTCACTAGAAGCCAAATCAGGTCCATCTCAGAGTGCCGGCGGGGGAGTCCTGGCTGCTCTGCTTCGGGGCCGGCTTCCTGCTAACGCGTCTGGCAAGGCAGCAGAGGGTGGTCCAAGCACTTGGCCCCTGCCACCCACGAAGAAGACCAGGATGGAGTTCTGGCTCCTGGCTTTAGCTGGTTGCCGACCTCTGTGGAGTAAGCCAGCAGATGGAAGATTCATTCAGTTTCCCCGTCACTCTGCGTTTCTAAATAAATAGATAAATAAATATTTTTATTTAAAGTGGCTTTAACTGCTCATCTGGCTGGGCTCCCTGGGGGCTTCACCTTGGGAAGATAAAGATGGGCCTCTCTCTCTCCTGAAAAGGAAGTAACCCCTTTTTATTTTTTTTCTAGTTGATTATTTACCTTTTCTACTGAAAAAGATCAGAGAGTCTGCTACAGACTCTGTATTTAACGATTGTTAACATTTTCCCTTATTTACTTCTTCATTTCTCTGCTGGAGAGTTTTAAAGTCAAGTACAATTTTTCAACCCTAAATGTTAAACAACATACATTTCATTTAGAAAGGACATTTCTTTGCCCTATCATTTCCACACCTAGTTAAAGCTAACAGCAATTACAATTCATATCCAATCCAAAATCCGATTTCCCTAACTGACCCTAAGGTGTCTTTCACAGCTGACTTACTCAGACCAGGACCCAATCAATGACCACACACTGCAATTGATTACAGCTTCTTAACCTGGAACGTGTCCTCCTTCTCTCCTCCCCCGTTTTTGATTGACATTATCTTGTTGGAGAAGCTACATCTGCCTCTGGGTTTGCTTAGGGCTTCTTTGCGGGGGGTCTTCGGTGAATGTGTTTGTGCACTTCCCGTCCCCTGGCAGTTAGATGTAGAGGCTGGATTAGATGAAGGCTTCACCACCCACATTACTCCACATAGGGAAGATGGGTTTTTGTTTATTTGTTAGGCTTATTTTCACTCAACGCCCCCCTTTTTTGTGTGTGTTTTTTTTTTTTACTGGTATTTGTAGTAACAGTGGGTCTGTTTAAAAGAACTGACAATCATTGCTGAAGTGGGGGACCATTCCCTGAACCATTTGCCTGTCGGTGACACCCTGATCAGGTCAAACCCGAAAAAGAGGATGGAATGATGAAAGATACTGGGAAGCTATTTCACTGTGGCTATTCAAGGACTATTCTCTTGTGGGCAAGCATTCGATGCCAAGGCTAAGACACCGCTCTGGCCAGCCTTATTTCTTGCTGTAGTGCCTTGTTGGAGCTGATGCGCCTCAGATCCTGATTCTGTCTTCCTGATAGTGTGTGCCCTGGGTGGCAGCAAGTGATGGCTCAAGTGGTTGGGTCCCTGCCACCTCTGTGGGAGCTCACTCTTCTCTCTGCCTCTCAAATAAATAAATAAAAAAAAAGACTGTTGGGGCAGGTGTGGGGCACAGCAGGTTAAGTTGCACTAAGAACACGAGCATCCCATACCAGAGTGCTGGTCCTAGGTACCCCCTGAAGATCCGGCTTCCTGCTAATGCACCTCAAAAGGCAGTGAGTGATGGCACAACTACCTGGATTCCTGCCACGTATGTCAGAGACCCGGATGGAGCTCCTGGCTTCCAGTTCAGCATGACCCAGCCCTGGCCATTGCAGGCATTTGGGAGTGAACCAGCAGATAGAAGATCTCTCTCTCTCCCTCACCCTCTCTGTCACTCTGCCTTTCAAAATAAAGAAGTCTTAAAAAAAAAAAAAAACACTTAAAATTTTATTAAGAATCTTATGTATAAGTGCTAAAAGTTTTAAGTGATAGAAAAAAAATTTCCAGACACTGAATCCATTGCACTCCTAAATAAATAGGACAGATATTCTGCAAGCTTCCTGAGGGTTATTGTTACTGTCATTAGTATGTGCATATATTATGCCATTTGACTCTGCTGCCATGTAACTGAACATATAGTTTTGGATGGAACAGTCCAGGATTTAAGAAGTACACAGGGGGCCGACGCTGTGGCACAGTGGGTTAAAGCCCTGGCCTGAAACGCCGGCATCCCATATGGGTACCAGTTCTAGTCCCAGCTGCTCCTTTTCTGATCCAGCTCTCTGCTATGGCCTGGGAAAGCAGTAGAAGATGGCCCATGTCCTTGGGCCCCTGCACCCACGTGGGAGACCTGGAAGAAGCTCCTGGCTCCTGACTTTGGTTTGGCTCAGCTCCAGCTGTTGTGGCCATCTGGGGAGTGAACCAGCAGATGGAAGACCTCTCTCTCTCTCTCTCTCTCTCTCTCTCCTCTCTCTCTCTCTCTCTCTATATATATATATATATATATATATATATACTTCTCTCTGTAACTTTGTCTTTCAAATAAATAAAAATAAATCTTTTTTAAAAAAAAAAAAGTACACAGACTTGGGAAACTGAATGACGTAGGTTAAGACTTAGGTTAACTTGAATGCCTGAGCGATGACAATAACTAAACGATGACAATAACTAAGTCAAAGGTTTGGTGTGAGAATTAAATGTGATGATGGATGTAAAAAGCCAGGGCATTGCCTGGGGTGGAGCAGGCACTCAATAAATGATGGTTATTCTCATTGGTCTCTGACAGTAGTGTATCAGCTTTCCCTAATAGATGGAGATTTCATGTATTTGTTCACTGCTTTCGGGGAAAGGGTTGAAGAGTGTTGCAAATTCTGTTTCAAGTCAGCTCAAGCACCAGTAATTGCTTCATTTCTCTATTTTAAAATGCAAAGCAGTGCAACTGTCATATTTTTATCCATTAGCGGTAAAATGAACTTCCAAGGGGAAATGGGTACCATCTTCTGGGAGGCCATTTGGCAATAAATATCTAAAGTTTTTAGGGGCTGGCATTTGACACAGTGTTTAAGATGCAGCCTGGGGTGCCTGCATCATATATTGCAGTACCTGGTCGGAGTCCCAGCTCCACTTCCAAGTCCAGCTTCGCACTAATGCTTGCCCTTGAAGGCAGCAGGAGTAGCACAAGTACTTGCATCACTGCCGCCTGAGTGGGGGACCTGCACTAGATTCCCGGCTCCTGCTTCCCGACTGGCCCACCTGGGGCTGCTGTGGGCATCCGGGCAGTATACCAGAGGATGGTGTCTCTCTGCCTTTTACATTGTTTAAAAAGTTATTTTCTTCAAACGTTCATGCCATAGCCCTTCTGGAAACGTAGCCAAGGGATATGAGCAAAGATACCAAGTGAGGCTCTGCAGTGAAGACAGGAATGCCCCATCAAACCTCCCTCCTAGGAGGACTCCCTGTCCAGCAGGAGAGCCCCAGCTGCCAGTCCTTTCGTGGTTGGCCTCAGGTACGCAGGCCAGCCTCCCCTGAGGTTATGCTCCTCCCAGAACTGTCCTCAACCAGTACGTGATCCCACGCATGCCAGACAGTGCTGCAGGGCCTTGTCAGCAGACCCTGGGGCTTCTCCCTGTCCCTTCCTGCTTGTCCCCTATTCTCGTCATAGGAACTTATCGCTGTAGGATTCAGCCTGTGATGGCTTCAAGCATGATTTGTTGAAAATAAGAATCCCAAGAGCAAGAAAAGCCTCCAACAATAGAGGCAGGCGTTTGGTGGAGAAGATAAGATGTCACTTGAGAGGCTCCCATCCCATTTCAAAGTACCTGGGTTCGAGTCCTGGCTTTGGTTCTTGTTCCAGCTTCCTGCTAACGCACACCCAGGAAGGCAGCAGGTGATGGCACAGTACTTGGGTCCGTGACGTGAACCTGGGAGACTCCAACTGAGTTCCCAACTCCCAACTTCAGCCTGGCATAGCTCTGGCTGCTGCAACACCTGGGGAATAAAGCAGAAGATTCTCGCTCTCACTCTGGTTCTCGCTGTCTTACTCTATCTCTCTGCCTTTCAAATAAAATTTTTAAAAGCACACTCCAACAATCAGGAAGGTGGGGTAAATTATGGTTCTTCCATAGAGTCAGATATTGTGCAGTCATTTCAAAATGCACAAAGAGTTCAACGAGGCAGAAAAAGATTTAAAATATATTGCAAAGTGAAAAAGCAGTGCACAAATTACCTTGAGGATTGCATTTTTAAAAATGTCTATTTATTTTCATCTATTTGAAAGGCAGAGTGGCAGCACAGAGAGAGAGACACAGATGGATGTTCACACCCCCAAATGACCACAACAGCCAGGGCTGGGCCAGGCCAAAGTCAAGAACATGGGATTCTGTTCGGGTCTCCCATATGGGTGCAGTGGCCCAAGCACTTGGACCATCATCTGCTGCCTCCAAG